GTGTGTTCCCAGTAGTCTTCAGTGTGTGTTCCCAGTAGTCTCTATAGAGTGTGTTCCCAGTAGTCTTCAGTGTGTGTTCCCAGTAGTGTTCAGTGTGTGTTCCCAGTAGTCTTCAGTGTGTGTTCCCAGTAGTCTCTATAGTGTGTGTTCCCAGTAGTCTTCAGTGTGTGTTCCTAGTAGTCTTCAGTGTGTGTTCCCAGTGGTCTCTATAGTGTGTGTTCCCAGTAGTCTTCAGTGTGTGTTCCCAGTAGTCTTCAGTGTGTGTTCCCAGTACCTTGGTGGTGGCGATGCAGTTAACGAAGCCGATCTGCTGGAATCCTTTTTCGCTGAGCGTGAGACAAACCTCCCAGCGATCGTTCACCTTCTCGTTCACGACCTTCAGAGCAACGCCCATCTCGTCCACTTTGTCCTTCACGTACAGATCCACGTAGCTGCGGAAACCAGTGATCTGCAGCGAGAAAACACACACACACACACACACACACACACACACACACACACACACACACACACACACACACACACACACACACACACACACACACACACACACACACACACACACACACACACACACACACACACACACACACACACACACACACCAGGGTTAATATTAACCTGTACATTAAATTAAATGTACGGACCACGGCTGCAGAGAAATTGTCATAAAAATCAATCGATATTTTTTTGTTGTTGCAATAAATACAAATAAAATGCATAAATTCGTTGATAAAAATAAGCAAATATATCAAAAATAATCCATGCAATGTCTTATATGATGGAGTGCAGCTGGTATATACATCTTTATTGTTATAAATATTCAAACTAAAAGACACTAAAACCCTAAAAAAAAAGACTAAAGGGATATCTCTAACCATGTGGACAATTATGCAAAACCACAAACATGCAGATAACTGGAAGAATATTCAAGTAAACATACAATATATGAAGCATGTCCCTGTATCTTAACAACTAAATATTAATTTATGCATCTAATATAGGGTGTAATTATTCTGTAACGAGCTCTGGAGCTGAACTTCATGACTATTATAACACATCAATTAAACACAACATTATCAACTTTTTGTCTCTATTGCAAAAGGAGCGATTTCAAATTCATTGTTGTTTAATTTCTATGTTGTGGATAAGAGTTGTTCAGGTTACAACCAACAGAATAACTGAACCAAATAAGCTGTTTTTAGGGTGACTCTAAAACACAGAGACTACAGATTATAAAAAGCCTTTTTGGTGCACTGTCCCTGCTAAATAAAGTAATACAAAACAATTAGAAAACATATAAATAGCCATTCTAAAATAAACAATATAATCCCCAGAAATGTACAGAAATGTCTGAATCAGATATTACATACAACTTGTAATGCTTACCTAGGGACCAAAAATACCTAAATTACAGAACAACCTGTCAAGATTTCGGAGCATTTACTCCATCATAACGAACACTGTAATGATATTAAATCCACACAACTACCAGCGCTCAAAATCAAATATAAGTCAGCTAGTGTTCATTTCGTCAGCTATTTTTTAATTTAGTTTTAGTCTTAGTCCTGTGTTAAATTTCCTTTTTAGTTTTAGTCATATTTAGTCACCTTCCTCCTGTTTTTATTTAGTCAAGTTTTAGTCGACTAAAAATCTGAGCATTTTAGTCTTTAGTCAAAGAAAACTAACTATTTTAGTTAAGATTTATTCGGTTAACGCGACCACTGCTCCCAAGCCCTGTTGTTGCCATTTTATTTTCTGTTAAATAAGGTTAGTTAGACCCGAGTCTTCCTGACACCGCTGTCCGGTGTAACTCAAATGTACCGCCGCGCGCAGCACAGACACACAGCTGCTGCCCAGCCGCAGCACCGGAAATGGAACTGCTGGGAGAAAAACTGACTATCAGAAATGTAACGTTATCTTTGATTATATTTCGTCTCATCATTTTCCGTCAACGAAAGTAAAGAGAGATTTTGGCATAGTTTTTATTTAGTAAACTACATTTTCGTCTCGTCACTTTTCGTCAACAATATTGCATGATGATTTCGTTGCAGTTATTGTTTACTGCCGCCGGTGCAGTCTCGTCATCGTCTCGTTTTAATTATGGAAAAAAAGGTCGTTGACGAACATATTTCGTCATCGTTTTAGTCAACGAAATTAACACTACCCTCAGCACACACTTTAAACAAAGAAACAGAAGAATGACTTACGGGCAGTTTCTTCCCGTTGAGCGTGACCTTGATGCCCCGGCAGGACCCTGCGATGTCGTACGCTCGGCGTGTCAGAAGAGCCACGATGTCTTTGTCCAGTTTCTCCATCTGGAACTTGGACAGGTCGGGCTGGAACGTCACGCACGTGAAGTCGTCTCCATCGAAGAACTTGATCTTAGGCTCCGAGGTTTTAGACATGTTGTTGAGCCACGTCTGACCAGGGGAAACAAGACAAAATGGTAACACACACACAAACAAACACACACACAAACAATCCGATTATTGAGATTTTGAGAAAAAGTCAGAATTTTGAGATTTTGAGAAAAAGTCAGAATTTTGAGATTTTTTGAAAAAGTCAGAATTTTTTGAAAAAGTCAGAATTTTTTGAAAAAGTCAGAATATTGAGAAAAAGTCATCTTGTGACTGTGTAACTGCCTCTCTTGGATATCAACATGTGAAGGACACTGTCCAGGAACTAGTTGATGCTCTGTATGTGATGACTACTTCCATTCTGGAGAGGATCACAGATACATGGATCCTGAGATTGAAGCTCAAGACAGGGATCAGGGAGAGCGTTCTAACAATATCCATTCAATTATATTGTATACAGGTCATAGAGTCATGTTGTGAACCCTGGAAATGTTGAATACCCCAAAGTTTAACGATAGAAATGTATAATACGAGTCCCCAGGACATAGAAACTGCTGGAAGCTAACTTGCATAATATGTTAGGTAATTTAGCACAATTAGCACAAGTTGCGTTAATTAGCATTATAGCTTATGTTGACAGGATCCAAAATGACTGTTTTTACAAGAAAGTGGGCATATTTGTACCCTTGTTTGACTGATATTGGTTAATTTTTTGTATGTTTTAGGTGACTCTGGATCATTTGGATTGCACAAATGGCTAATTTATAAGAGCATAAATTGACCACAGTAGAAGCAATGATTTTTTATCTTGTGTTCTCGTCGCAACACTGCTCACGGTGGCCAAACAGCCAATTGAGAGTAGAAATATGGCCACTTACTTTCTGGTTAAAACTGCTATTGTTCATGCTGAAAATATCAGAAATGGCCTCACATCCAAAACCAGTCCAAATGTGTCCAAAAAGGCCAATAGTTGTAGCTGTTGTCTACATAGTGCATAATGCTAATTCAGGGAATATGCAGGAATCCTGAAGTCACATGTAAGCGTGCGATGTCCTGTTCAGATGGCGTCAAACCCAACGGGATACCATAAATAAACTACACAGAATCACACTACACACCTACGCAATGATTACATTCAGGCAGACTGTAGAATACAACCTCTTTGGACAATTTATATACTTATTGAAAACAAGCTACAAAATGTAATACCTTGGAAAATGCAGTTTAATACTTTTTAATAGCCTTCATTTTCGCTAAATTGATTTATCAACTTTTAATACTTTTTAAGACCCCGCGGACACCCTGTAAGTATTGATTATTAATGCAACGTATGCTTATACATTTCTAACATTAAACTTGAGGGTACTCAACCTTTAAGTAGACTAGGATGCATAATAGTGCATTTATTGCCTAAAATGTCCATGATTTAAACACCTGGTGACTTTCAATAATACCCAGAACCACAAAGAGTGATAATGTACTGATCCTTACCTCAGATAAGACCACATGTCAAAGCCCTATAACACAGTAATTATTACTTTATTCAAAGATTGTATTGGATTAGATTGACTTTAAACATCCCAAATTGGGCCCTTTCTTTTGCCACAGCAGCAGGAAATGTAGCTATTACACATTAATTAACCAAAATGATTCTAAAGTGTTAAATTAGTGATGAACTATGAATGCAATTAAAGTTATTTTACACCCACAGCAATTAATGTGCAGTGAGATTTTTGTTTATTTGACCAGCTGTTGACTTTAAGACTTAACAGCTTATTTATTTATCGGTCATTTGCAGAAAATATGTCGCACAGAAGGACTTACCCAGCTATGGATGACGACTGAACACAAGAACATATCTCTTTTTCTGCTACATGAGTACATGTGTGGATGAAATCAACGATTATGAGAGAAATCATCCTATTCTTTACCTAAAAATCAGCATTTTTGTTACTTTATTGACTCTGAACAGCTGAGAAACGTATATTAATGTTCGCTGGTACCTCTATATGTAAGGGATAATGTGCAGCGACGGGTCATTATGGGGAACAGAACACCGACAGGCTGATCAGGAGCCCGACGCGAAGCATGCAGTTTGCTTTTCAGCCCAACTGGATGCAGTTAAATCGAACAGACTTCTTTCTGCAGATGTGAGCGTCCTTAACAACGGTCAATAAGTCCTTGACAGCGGTCTGTCTGTTCTGGATTAACAACGTGTCACGTGTTCTGAATTGACCAATCAGAATCGAGTATTCAGATATATATACTTTATTGATGCCATGCTGACCTGTTTGAAGCTGTGCCGGTACTCTTTGCAGGCCGTCTCCACAGTGAATTTGGTGCTGAAGATGTTGCAGAGTTTAGCTCCGTATCCGTTCCTTCCACCTGCGTAGAAACGTATTATTATTCCACTTCTTGAACACACATTAACGGTCCCCTATTTTACTGTTGTTCATCAATATATCACAGGTCTCAGATATATCCAGAGCCTGTCTCTGATTGGCTGAAACACCAAACAGATCATTGCAGCATTACCCATAATCCCCTGTTTCAGCCCTGTTTCCAAAGTGCTGATTCTCTGTCTGTTACTTTAGATGAAAATAAGGAGGAGAGAGATTTGGTAACAAATTCAGAATTTTGAGAAAACCTCAGAATTTTTTGAAAAAAAATCAAAATTTTTAGAATAAGTCAACATTTTGAGAAAAAGTCAGAATTTTTAGAAAATGTCAGAATATTGAGATTTTGAGAAAAAAAAAAGCATTTTTAGAAAAAGTCCACATTTTGAGGAAAAGTCCAAATGTTGAGAAAAAGCCAGAATTTTGAGAAAAAGTCTGAATTTTGAGAAAATGTCGGAATATATTGAGATTTTTAGAAGAGACATGAAGAAGAGGGGACACATGTTGATGTAGAAGAGACATGAAGAAGAGGAGACACATTTTGATGTAGAAGAGACATGAAGAAGAGGGGACACATGTTGATGTAGAAGAGACATGAAGAAGAGGGGACACATGTTGATGTAGAAGAGACATGAGGAAGAGGGGACACATGTTGATGTGGAAGAGACATGAAAAAGAGGGGACACATGTTGATGTAGAAGAGACATGAAGAAGAGGGGACACATGTTGATGTAGAAGAGACATGAAGAAGAGGGGACACATGTTGATGTAGAAGAGACATGAAGAAGAGGGGACACATGTTGATGTTGAAGAGACATGGAGAAGAGGGGACAAATGTTGATGTAGAAGAGACACGATAGGTGACCTTTAATAAACCCAGGTACAGAGGTCAAGGTGTCTTCTTCCTCTCCTTACCTGTGACCTTCTTCTCGTCGTCGTCGTAGTTGCTGGAGGTGAGTAATTGTCCGAAAATGAGCGCAGGAACGTACATCTTCTCGTCTTTGTGCTCCACCACCGGGATCCCCTTACCGTTGTTCCACACCGAGATGGTGTTGGACTCACTGGAGGAGAGGACAATGAAGAAAGTCTCATTTTAATACAACGGTTTGGTAGTTTAGCAGAAATGTATCACAACGTAGAGGGAATATGAAGTGCAACTAAAATATTCCGTCCTTAAAATCAATAATTATTGTGATTTTTAAAGTTATTTAAATATCGATAAAAATGATATGGGTTATCATTTTTGCCGTAATCATTAAGCCTTAGTTTGTGAATTAAATTGTAAATGTAAGGTTTAGAAGAGTTTATTTATTCTGATGGAAATTGGGTTTTCTGACAGTTGCTCAATTTTAGAAATAAAAACATTTTAAAATAAATAACCAATATGCAAATAGAAATGAACAAATTAGCAAAAATCTGGCATTAATCATCTCTCCTCTTATTGAGAATGTAATGTATTTTTGTGCATGGAAAATAAATATGGATATGAACATAATTTAAAGGTCACCTATCATGCTATTTTTAGCAGTGTTAATTTCGTCAACGAAAACTATGACGAAAAATGTTCGTCAACGACCTTTTTTACATGACTAAGACGAGACGATGACGGGCTAAAAATAGATTCTTGATAACGAAAACTATGACGAAATGAATATTTAGTTTTCGTTGACGAGACGGGGCTAAGGTGTTAATGGTGGACTATCGGACATTCAAAATGCAGCATATTTTCCCCCAAGTGTCCGTCTTGTCTGTCAAAATGCATCTTACGTTTCTAACTTGCAATATCATTATTTCCGCTCTCTTCACGCCAGAAGAGCGATCTCCCTGTGTCTCTCTGTGTGCGGGGGGCGGGGCCTAACAGACACGCTGCAGCGGCACACAGAGATCTGCTGGGGACGGAGCGTTCAGAGAGTATAGAGACACATTTTGACTAAAATGTAATTTTTAATCGACTAAAAGTTGACTAAGATGTTTTGAGTTTTCGTCGACTAAAACTAGACTAAGACCACGAAGGATAGGAATGACTAAAATGTGACTAAAACTAATAACCATTTTCGTCTAAAGACTAAGACTAAATCAAAAACAGCTGCCAAAATTAACACTGTTTTTTAGGCAAGAGCATAGGTCTCAGATATATAAAAATATATAAGCTAGCCATGCCTCATATCCTTCTATTTCACTTCCTGTTTCAAAAGGGCTGATTTGGGGTATAAAGCAGCTACTGTCTAAACTAAATACTGCGGTGATGAAACGCCATATCATGGATTATCAAGGATTCTCTCTGAAACAGTATGGAGCTCAAAGGCTTTCTCTCTTGCCGGTTATACCACAAGGTGAGTTCCTTTTTATTTCCTGCTTCTTCACACACATGCTCTCCAGTACAGGTTAGCTCTGAGTGTTAGCGATGCTAATATAAACACCGACCATATTACGTCCAAAACAGTCGGGCATAGTTTCTGATAGCAACGTTTCTGATAGTGCCGTGGGTCCACATTTCAGATATCACGTCATATCGGACGCAAATCTGGATCAGCTCCGTTGTTCCCCATTTTTAGAGAGTTGGGTACGGAGGAAAAGAGAGAGGGTTTTATTTTCTGACGCTGCGTGAGTTCCCCGACACACCGGGGACACAT